TGGTGCCCCTGCTCTGCCCGAGTCCCCTCACCCTGGCTCAGTCCCCCTGCACCCACCTGATTCCCAATCTCCCCACCCCACTCAATCCCCCTCCCAGCCCAGCCCCTTCTGCTGCCAGCCGAGAGCACCCATCCCTGCCCCAGCCGCTGCCTGAGCCCCAGCCTGGGAGCACCCCAGGGGGGCCCCCCTGGCTCCTGGAGCCCCCTCCCCTCCCCAAGCCCCTCTCAGACACCCCTAAAAGCTCCCACTTGCCCATGGACCCGGGGCCATCCCCCCTGCTCCGGGAGGTGCCCCACCTCCCACGTCCCATCCCTGTGGCTCCCAGATCCAGGGCCCCGTGCCCTGAGCAGGCTGCAAGGGATGCCCAGGCAGCCCAGGGAGCGGGGATGCCACCTGGCAGGGGGAAGAAGGGACGCTGGCGGAGTGCTTCATGGAGAGCCAGCCGAGCTGTGTCCCTGTGTCCCCAGAGCCAGGACAGAAGGACACCTTGGCTGGGCCGAGCCCTCTGGCTGGTGCTGCCGATGGCACGGGCACCCTCAGACGCCAAGTGCCAGGCAGAGCCCGCTGGCCAGAGGGGAATGGGCTGCAGGACGCCTCCCCGGCAGCCTCGGCGGTGTCGCCTCTTCCCGTCTTTCTGACCCGGCACAAATGCGCTGCAAACGTTTGCCAGCGGAAGAAAACGGCTGGGGAAAACAGCCTGCTGCTGCCACCCCCTGCCAGCCGGCTCCTGCCAGGAAAGGCAGCGCAGCAATGGCCTCGCAAGGGCTGCCGCTGAGAAGCAGCTGCCTCCCGCTCCCCTTTTAAGTTGCCAAAGGTGTAATTAAATCCCCCCTTTGCTTTGCCTCCCCCAGGCTGGTTGTGCCCTGCCGCCCCGGCCTCGTGGACCCGGCCGTGCCGCTGCCTGGGCGTCTCTGCTGAGCTCCCCCCAGCCTGCTCACGCCTCGCTCCTACTGGGAGCCCGGGCTGGAGCCAGGAGCGAGGGGAAGGCTCCCTGCCCACCGCTCCATCGCGTCGGGCCATCGTCACGGCCCAGATAAGCAGTCAAAAAGAAAGCAAAATCGCCTTTGCCTTGCTGGGTTGTGCTCAAGCGTGCCCAGCAACGCTTCGCACCAAGTTTAAGAGCGATGAGACCTTCCCACATCCCCAGTCCCATCCCTGGTGCAGCCGCGGTCCCCCTTGGGTCCTCCCGGGGGTCCCAGCTCTCCTTTGCGTGCTCCTTTCCAAGCCCGCCATGAACGTTACATGATCCATCCTGGACGCCCTCGTTAGCATCAACACCTTGGATGCGTAACGCCCTCGTTAGCATCAACGCCGGTCTATGCGGCTGCCCCGCTGCCGGGGGGGTCCCACCGCACCCCCGGCTCCCGGGCTGCCCGGGGCAGGGCGGCTCGTCCCTCCGCCGCTTTCCACCCTGCCCCAGAATGGGGAGGTTCAGCCCAGCTGCCCACCCGTGCTCCAGTTCACCCGGGGCGAGCAACCCGGCCCGGCCC